TACTTTTAACGTGCTGAGATCTCAACGCATGCAACCATAGTTGTCCAGTTCGTAATGTACTCGAGAAGTCATACCGCTAATGTCAATAATTAGCTTTAAAAGTGCTAAACTGCCTTTTGCAGCGAACACTGTCATTAGAGAATTAGGTGTGAGCGTGGGATGTGCCGTACATCCTTATGTCGTCACTAAACGAAAAGATGAGGTTTGCGAGCAAAGCTATTATACATCTTCATTGCTCAAATTTTCTACATCAAGTCGTTTGTTTTGAGCTGTTGCCAAACTTGAATGCTATGAGTTAATTGTCATTTAGCATAAACAATCATGTTATTAGAATTGCGCTTCTCTTGCGGATGAATAGAAACATCCTCAAGGGATTTCAAGATAAATCGCGAAGCTAGGGCAAGCAAGAAAAGCAACCACATGTAACAAAAAACCAGGTTTTGTCCTATGTCAAAAAAAACGTGATGTAAGAATTAGCAACGAAAACACTACGGTGATGTATCTGCTTGTCAATTTCTCCCTCGTACTTCAGTCGCAGATAGGAAAAGACGAATTAGAACTATACCCTTAATAATCTATGAGAACGACAGTATCAAAGTACTTCTTCTGCTAAAACTAACAGGAGCTTTATATAGCTCAGAATTTAGCGCAGCAGCTTATGATGAAGTCCAAAGTCAGCTCCCTTATCAAGAATATCGCTAAACTTTTCCATTAGGGTGTAATTCTTTACATTCCTAGACAGCAAAAAGACGTGATGTAAGATTTTATCCAAATTTTGAAGCTCTCTTGCTGGAAGCATCGCAAAGCATTTTTGAGTTTTCCAAATTACCATTCCAAATTGCACGAGTTCCTTCATCTACGAGAATGGTCCTCAAGACAGTGTTTCTAAAACTGAGCTTTATTTCTCATATCTTAAGAACTTTCTTGCGACAAATGGCCAAACTAACTGACAGGCTAATACTCTTTCAAGTGACTCTAGTATCTTTACTTACTGCGGCCTTCCGACCATTAAAATCTTATCATCGTTCTATGCCTTCCAAAACAGAGCACAGTAACTTATTTCCTTTTCGGGCGAAACTACTCGAACGACGCTGCGCCAACAAGGAATTCCAGTTAAGGCTGCGTTCATACTGATCCCAAAGTCCGGGAACAGTCCCAGCACAACGCTCACTTCGAGCGCTGTGCTGGAACTGTTCCCGGATTTCGTAATCAGCATGAACGCAGCCTAAGCAGATACCCTAACCAGGGCCCGGCGGGGGTGGCGCTTTCACAAGCTGAATATCGTTTTTGGCCCGGAAAAGCAAAGGGGAAGTCGTAATTTGGGGTCCGGGGCTCCGCCCCGAACCCCAAAATACGAGCCCTTTGTTTACCGATAGGCAATGCACATATCATTCTTTTTTCATCATTCCTTGTTGATGCTACTGTCCTATGAACTTAGATTCCAGCAATGTGAAGATTCTGTGCTCCGATCGCTAGCCTGCCCGCAGGCGGGAATTCAAATCGCAATTCTTGTAAGAGGAAAATAACAAAATAGGCTCGTTTTCAATGCACAAGTAACGATATGGCACCAAATTTGCTGTATATTTGGAGGGCCATGAGCACAAAAAAAAGTATGAAGAATTATGAGAAACTTATGTGAATTCGAAAAATGGTAAGTGTTTTTCGAAATTAGGTGGCTCCCGCGCCACCTGGGAGCAACCTGGGGTGGCTCCCTGCTTTCCTTCACATAATTTCCCGGATTTCTTTACAGAAATGTGGACTAGGTCGAGAGTATTACTATACGTTCAAATCCGCTTTCAAAACCACCAAGACACCGCTTCGATACAGCCCCAAATAGGGTTCACAGCGTTATGATTGGCCTCGGAAAGCGCGCTCCAATCGCAATCGGTTATTGTAAAGTTTCGCAGCTGACTAATAAATGAGTAGTATCTTAGATATATAAACGTCAAAGTTTGTGCGAATCTTGACCCTATGTTTTTTTATAGATTCCTTTGCGGATGAACCCATTAAGCTGAAACCTTGAAAACATATGTTTTCGGCCTCGGTAGATGGTTTTAAGCTATCCTTCGAAGCAATTCGTGGAATTCTTCTATCGATTTAATGATTTTTGGCACCTTGCAAGGAAAGTAACACTTACCAGCCGCTAACAAACTGCTTACACATTTTGGTGTGAACAATGCAGTAAAGTTCATTTCCACTTTTAAAATTAGAAGGTGCAGTCACTCCAATAAGCCTTTCTGGAGGTAAGCTCGTGCAGGAGGGTAAGGGGGAGGGCTGCAGTGCAGTATTAATACTGCAGGAAAGGGGTGGAGATTATGGCCCAAAAGGACGGGAAGGTAGAAAGACAAAGTGTGGTTTTTGGCCCCCTCAAACGATGACCCGGGCTGGACCAGGAAAGCCAGGTAGTACTACTATAATAAGCGCTGAGGCCGCCCATCTTATTATTTGTGTATACCTGTTTGTCAGGGACTTACGGGGGTCAAAAATAGGGTCAAAGGGGAAGTCGTAAAAATTTTGGCTTCAAAGGGGATATCGTTTTCAAAATTCTGAAATGCCACCTCTTGCCGGGCCCTGACCCTAACATCCAAGCGAAAAGGATGGCCTGTTTTATTGCCCCTTTTGGTCTTGCTAGCATAGCAGGTTGGCCAGGTTGGTTTTCGCTCGGCCGCGCATGCGTGGGCGAGTCATTTTAGAACGTCGTGATGTAACCCAGGTAATGCAGAAATATTTAGACCGTTGCCCGGTTGCGTTGAAGAATCAAACTCTACGGGATTGTTTGAAAGCAGTGGATCGGTGAAATGGACCCTAATCAGATTTTGGTGGCGTTAGGTACCAAACTCCCAGTAAATCTTAGCCCTATCCCCACCCTTCGAATCTTGCGCTGGGTCCTGAAAATACGCTTCAAATATCTGAGTAGTGAGCTTATGCAGCTAACGCTGGGATATGGGCTTCGTACTCACTAGCAAACCCAACCGATCGCTGCAGCAGGTGTCGCGTAGAATAAAATCAGTCTCTGAAACCTCCTAGTTTGACCACGAGAAAGTTTGAAAGCAACTTTGAAGTTAGAGCGTTCGTTTTGCATAATCCCTAAGAATCACCATTGCTCCAGTCCAACATTAAAAAATATCACAACTATGTTAGTTGATAACTTTTCTGCTCAAATGAATGTTTATAACTCCCCGTATAGAAATTTTTCGCAGATGAAGAAGACAGATTTGAATCAGCATTCGATGTTCTTCAAGTATAGCAAGCATAAGATTGCAACATAAGTATTGCACAAAACAGCCCAAAATCACAATGGGTCAGGTATCTTCTATTCTTGAGTAGATTCTGGGATGACATTCTTATAGTGTTCAAAACTTGCAGCAACTTTCACTCGAAGTAGGGCAAAAACTGAAAAATCGAACTAATCGAAAAAAACAGAACTCGTTCAAGAAAGTCATGTGAAAATTTTAGCTTACTCATGCACTCCTTATCAGACATTCATGCATGCAATTGCTGTATATCTTCCTTTTCTGAAAACTGTAGACAGGAAAAATTTTTGCTTTCGGAACATACGGCGGAGCCGGGTGAGCCAGCTAGTTTGTATATATTACAAACGTTAAGTAACTTTTGCAGTATATACAAATCGTGATTATAATAATTATAATCGTGATTTTTTAACGCTACAACACTAGTTCTCGAATATTATCGAGATTGGCATAAAAACTCGAATGAAAAGAGCAAGGTATTATATACGCTAAAACTTACGCTTGTACTTATAAAGTCTTGTAGTATACAAATGTAGTTTGAACACATAGTAGACGAAAACTTGGCGGAAGTAAAAAATCTTGCTATCGCTAAAGTGAAGAAGTAAATGAAGGAAGTGAATGTCTGAATGCAGGAAGTATATCGCATGAAGGTTGCAGCTCGTAGAAATCTTAGACTAAGTTCCGATTTTTTTCGATTTTTCGGATGTTGGATTTTCTAAATTTTAGCCTCCATCGCGTGATAAAAAGCTGGTGCGAATTCTTGAATACTATCATCCTGTAGAGATTGTATTGCTCTATCAAATATCCCACAACCTTGAAGATCACAGATAAATATGAGCTATTGCGTTTTTGACCTGTTTCGGTGCACTTATGTTACTACCAGATATTTCTGACTTTCCAAAGCTCTCTTATCAAAAATGTTGGAAGCCATCCGAATCTAGAGATTGCATGGCAACAATAGGTTGTACCTTACAAAAATTGTTTGGTTCCCATAACAGGAATCCAGTAATTTCCACACCAAATGCTTTCTCACGTATATCACAGGACTCTATCATCAGAGTCTATCAAAACGAAATGGTTTTCTTTGATTGATGCCTGAGGATTTCTTAGATGTGACGCAAAAGCTTTTCCACGCCGCATCTAATCTAATATTAATACCTTATGCTGATGAAGTAATTGTGGTCTTTCAACCTATATTTTGAGTAGTTTGTGTTACATAGAATGATTAACTTTGCTCCTTCTCTCAAAACATATGTATACGTTGTATGACGTAACCTTCTCCAGAATTCTGCTTCCTTTTTACAAGTTGCTTATTGATTCAAATGCTGACTTGCAGACTCTTTTGAAACCTTGATAATGCAATCTATATTTTTCAGTTCTTCTTTACTGCTTTTTTGTAAGCTATTTCTTGCCGGTCCTAAGCAAAACTTGCCCCTCTCCTTCACCAATTTCTTGCTTCTATTCCATCAAGGAGCACTAGCTCATTCAAAGTAAAAAAGTGCACTGTCACTCAAATCCTCCCATTCTATGCCCCTTTGTTCTAAATACGTATCGTTTGAGCAGATAGAACATTCACACCCGTAATATAGAAAAGCGTACTATCTTGCGAATGAAAAAAATAGTGCAAGTTAGTTTACTTTGCATGCATAGTAATTTTGGCTTGGAACATTGCTACTAAAAAATTAGTGGCCGTAATTTGTTGCAGAACAAACTTACTTTCTTGATCTTGATTTATAACACGCTCTTCAGATGTTCCAAGTATTCTTGATCATTGCTATGGTAATGATACCGGCTATCATAGCGATATCCTTTTTGCTATGTTGCATCGTTCTTGTGATAATGTGGCGAGACCGAAGGTCAAGTCGCTATAAGTCATTTTTCTACAAATGCTGGTGGAGTGAGGTATCCTTCTACTTGCCTTCCAAATGCGTAGAACATTTACAAGTGCAAAAATCTTTCCAGGGTTTGATGAACTTGTTTACTTTCGTGTATTTCATATCAACTATCTATGCTAGATTCTACAATAGCGCTTCTGACGCTTTCATGTATCTAAATCATTTTCCATGGTGGACAAAATTTGCGGAGCTTTCTCAGGAGCAAATCATGTATATACAAATCATGAACGTGTTCTTGACCGTAGCAGGACGAATTTGCACCGTGTGTTTACCACACTCAGCTGTCACTAGTGTAAGTTTTGCTTGGAAAGCATCTACTTCGAATACATCCTGCGACAATAACAAGTTGGCTTTAGATTATCGAACGACTAAATAAATGGGAAATATTTGGTCTTCAAATTACAATTCCTACTATAACAGTGATTCCACTGTTTTTTATTTTTGACTTCGAATACGGACTCACTCAGCCGTATGAAATCCCAAAAACACTGGGCAGCACCAGCCCTCATTACAGTAAGGTGAGAGGCATACGGCACTCCATGAGTAAGGCTGCGTTTATACTAATGCGGAAGTTCGTGAACAGTTCCAGCCGCGCTTAGTTCGAGCGCTGTGCTGAAACTGTTCCCGAATTTCGGAATTACTATGAACGTAGCCTCAGAAGTGTAGAAAAAAATCTAGGTACTTTTTCTTCTTGGGCTGACGTATCGAGGATCAGCATTTGCTATCTGTGTTTTCGGCTACGTTTTTCTTTTTTGGACGGTGCGGAGCAAAGCGTAAGTCTACAGACTGCTTTCGCTCTATGTTTGATTTTCATCCTGTCATTTTCTCTTATTCATTGCGCCATTGCAGGAAACGCAAGGAGACAAACATCCTAGTTCTTTGCGGCTGCCTTCTTGGAGCACTTGGAGTTGAAGTAGCATACACTGTACTCTTTTACTTTCGTGAAAAAGGGGTACGTTAAATGTACAGCATTTATTAAAACCTTCATTAACAGGAAGTTTTTGTTATGAGTAGGACTGTATACGTAAAACTCTACAATCTCTTCTGTCTAACTTTGCCTAACTATTAAGGCTTATGAGGCTTACGCAGTCGTACGACTATTGTGTTTCACTTCGATGCTATGGATCCCATTCACAGATATAGTAGTAACTATTCTGGTTCTGGCTCCGTTGAGGAAAAGTATAATCAGACTGGTCACGAATCAACCTGAAACGGCCACGACAACAGTATTCCAAGCAAGCAAATGTCCCAGCACTGTTGTTGCTTCAAATAATCAATTCACAGTCAGAATTAATTAGTGTCCTCGTGATATTGCAGCTTAGTCGCCGTTGCCGATCTAAATACATTGAACAATGGCTGAGAGACTTTCTAAAACATAGCTATTATTGTCCGAGTAAAAGTTATTTGATCTAATCAAATTTTTAGAATCAGACAAAAGCATTTAAATGCCGTTTCTTCCACTGATTGTTTACAGCGCATAATGAAAACGTGGATCTTTGATCAGAAATTGTTGGAAATACGGAATGTATTGATGGCATACTTTCTTTTCACCAAAGCTTCTCGCGTTCACGCGCGCATAGCCTTGGCTATCAAATTTGCCTCATCATCGGAACGCGCGCAACGTCCTCGCGTTATCGCCTAGTATTCGAGTAAATAGGAGTATTCAGTGGCGCAGACAGTATGATTGAAGACATTCTCTTTGTCTGCAGGATTAGGGAGAAATGCTGCAGAGCAGGCAGTTAAGCGAAAAGCTTAATATTTGAATGCCGCTGCTATCTACATTTCATGACTCAAAAATCAAGGCCGTTGGATGCATTATATATCTGAATCATATTTAGAAAAATGCAAAGGGTACAAATTCTACGATTAGAAAACACTAGAACAACGGACTAAAAAAATTTCAATTACTTGAATCTGAAATAGCGTACCATATATTGTTCCAGAGTTCTACGCTCAAAAGTTAAAGTAAATTTGCTTAAGGGCAGCGTCTAGGCAAATCTGGACATATGGCCACGTTGACCCTAATTTTGGGGCCCTAATAAGGCACTACCCAAGCGGCAGCGCAGGTGACTCGCTAAGCTGAGATATACGTCTCCAAACTGGGCCCCGGGATCGTATTTCGCATGGATTCATGGCGCAAATCAATTTCGCGCGAGGACTCACGGGTTGCGCCATGAATTCATGAAAAATGATCCCGGGGTCCAGTTTCAAGGGGATTATATCAGTTGTTGGCGCACTACCTACGCTGTCGCTTGAGCAGTGTCTTGAATAGGGCCCCAAAATTACAATCCGAGAGCCCCGTATTTCCAGACTTGCCTGGACGCTGCCTTTAAAGATGTGGGAAACAAAAGATTTGACTGAGAACATTCTAAGGGAGTGAAAAGGTTGAATGCAACTTTCATCAAAACAAAAAAGATGCAGTTACGCTAGTATTTTGAAAAAAAGGAAGCAAGAGAATGTGGATCGTTGATAAGAAGACTTTGAAGAAGCGCACGCATGGACTTACTACTTACGAGCAGTAAAATAAATACATAAAAGTACCAAAAAACATTGTCAAAGTAATAGTAGTTGGGGCATTTGCATAACCGCATTTTGTGAAGAAAACTACTCAATATGCCCAAGAAATTTCAAGACAGAAATTTTTAAGAGAAAGACGATCTTGGGAATACATCAATGAAAACTATGGAGAGGTTTTTGTGGTTGAACGGATAGAGAGAGGAAATTAGCGGTAAAACGAGAATTGGATATTGGACCCTGGTGGTTGACAAGTATTGAGGATCGAAATTGCTAATAAAAGAAAGAAGCTTAGTCGAAGTGGCATTTCTGTGTGAGATGTATACTGACTTGAAGAGTACGAAACGCTGATTCCATATATACCTTTCTCATCTGCTCTGGGTTTTTGAGCAAGAATAAGGTTTTTATAGGCCGAAAAATCAATGCATGATCAATGTTAAATCGATCGTTGACTTTTCTAGCGTTCCGACCTGGCAGATTTGAGATATGTTTGAAAACATTTTTAAAACAAGAATATTTATAAAATAAAACTATACTTATAAAATAGAATAAAACTAAAGATATTTATTACATAGAGTGACCCGAAAATCATTTGAGCGTAGAAAAAATGTTAGCTAATTTTGTACTAGCTGCACATGCAAATTTTTGTTTATAAAGACCTTTGTAAATCCCCGCCTAGAAATCCGCAGCAAATAGGGGAGGTGGATTGATTTCCATACCCTTCAAGGTGTTATCCATTTCTTATTGAAAGGCCACTTCGGTAACCTTTTTTTCCTCGTAGGTTACCTAAACTTTTCGTTTGTTCTTATGTGTTCTTCAATCCCAAGCCTACCGTCGCCCCGTTCGTTCTGACTATGGGGATCTATGGTTTCGTATATCCCGAGTTCAAGTCCCAGGACCGTCAACTTTGGAGTCGTGTTTTACCATCTCATCCGTACACTGAGCAACTCCACTGTTGGCGCAGAGTGAACACTCCGTATTTCCTTTCATTTTAGGGCTTTACGTCTTTCAGAATGGAAGTGAGCGATACTTTGCGAGTTGTAGAGCATGTATAGGGCTTATCAAAATGAGTGTCGTTCGCATCAGCATCTCCATCTTCACGCTGGACTTTGCGTCTCTTCCGCGGGGCTGCTCTCTGAGCACTTTCCCAGGGCCAGCGTGGGAAAGAGCGGAGCCTCAATCGATTGGAAGTGATTAGGGAGCATGTAGCGTAGAAGGGACGCAGAGTCCAGCGCGAAGATGGAGATGCTGGTGCAAACGACACTCAATTTGATAAGCCCTGTAGCTGCCCAATAGCTCGCAGCGTTTTTATACTTCAAATGTGCAGGTGTTACTACCGGTATGATCTTTTTATAGTGGAGAAATGCACACCTGTGATGTGATTATGTAAGTGCGGCTTTCAAAAGCTGGCTCAGGCCTAGTGACAACTCAACTCTCCGTTTGTTAGCAAACTTGTATTAATATTTCTTTTCATCTCAATAGTACATTCTCTTATCTGTAGTCTGAAGCTCATAATAGTTGTAGCATTCGTGCTCTATGTGTCTACTTAGCTATCGTTATGTACTTGTTGTCTCGTTTATGTAACAAAAAATGCACAAAATAATGTTTTGTATGGTGAAAAGCTACATCTTGCCATAACTATTTATTCTTGATCCCATTAAAACATAAATGCAGCAATTCGCGGAAACTCACTCAAGGCTGATATCACAAAAGGGCAGAAACATGGACTGGAGAACAAAAAGACCTTCCAATACCTCGTTTATTGATAAATCACAACTACTTTCAAAATTTGCTAGTATGTTTGATAATTAGCTTAACCTGCAGCGCAAGTCAGTAGCGTGAGTATGAATGAAAATGGTTTGGATGAGAAAGACAAAAGTTTGAGATTGTCAAGTTCTTTTTGAGCCCTTCCATGTAGGTTATCATTCCGCACAACAACTGAAAAACTTCGGAGTTTTTCAATTTATGCATGAAATAGCTCACTAAGTTTGCTAAGTGTACTGATGTGTTGATCGAGGCTTTGGCAATTACCTTTTGCAGAAGAAATATTTAAGCTGTAGCGTGGCATCGTCTACCCTGAAAAAAAAATTTCTCAGATCAAACATTTTCAAAAATGACATGACGGTATGTTGTCAATATCCACGACATATAGTGACTAATATTTCAAAATTAAGCTTTCATTTGCAATCGAATCCCAGCCAAAAAAATGTGAGATAGAATTTCGTATTTGAGTGCGACTGTTTGAGATCCTGTAAAGATTTTTCAATAGGTCTCGAAGACTATTTCAACCACTGTTGAGAAGGGCATCGAAGATGCTTTCATACAATTGCGCCAAGCTAAAAAAGTAATTTCATTTCCCAAATAATTCATGCTCGCGTTCGCTCGCTCAAGGCCTCGTGGCGTAAATTCAATGCTATCAAGTGCTCCTTACTCCTGCAACTCTCAAAATTAACGTACAGAGACTGCAAATACAAAAATTTTCTAATCGTTCTGTTCCTACATATTCACTTGAAGGCGATATTAGGTTGATGCATCCACGTCCTCATCCTGCTGTGACGAAAATGATCTGGAAAAGTATGGAACATATCGATAGAGCAAGCCAAGCTCGATTTGGTATTTGAGCCACCACAAAATTAAAAATCAAAAATGTCTAAAAAGGTTTCGCAAACCTCCACCTTGATCATGCATATACCATGCAAGTCAGACATTTACATGTATGCATGCGCTATTTATTGAAAATTTTCGCTTTTCTGAACGGATGCCACAATTCGCAAAACAAACATTCATACAGAGTCCTGGTAGCTTTTTATCTTTCAAATGGTCAAGTTTCTTTTGCAATGCCACGAATGTGCTCCTAAAGTCATCGAAATCCAAAACACCTGCTTTTGCCATGGTCAATTTCCGTTATGTTTCTATACCTCACACTAAATCCCCAAATAAGTTTGAATAACAGATGATAAAGCAAATCCAACAGGATCAAAGCAATTTGTGTCTGGCTTGCTATAACTTTTTAATGGAATTTTTAGCAAAAATAAAGAATTTCAGCAGGTCTGTCGAAGACACAAAGCGTCAAACGCCAATAAAAGAATTTTAAGAGTGGATTATACTCAAACACTAATTGAACAAAGCAAATGAGCGTTCGAAGAATTCGTCGGTTCTTGAATTTGCCAAGCACAGCTTGAAGCACGTTTCAGAAAAACTACGACGAGAGCCACGTACCTCGGTGACCTTCACTTTGAGGGCTATGAGGGGACACAACCTTCACCTGAAAAAAAAACAGAAGTCATCCGGGGCTTCGCCCCGGATTTTATTATCCTGATTATATCGGAACGAATGTTAATGAAGCAAATAAAGGGGATAATCTTTAATTTATCTCAGCGAAATCGAGAATTTGCGTTTTCATAGCCTTTTTTACCTCAAAAAAGGTTTCTGTGGGATTTTCGCCACAATCCAGAACATTTCTTAGTTAATTTCTCATTTGAACAAAATCGAGTTTTAGAAGTTTAGGAAAGCTATTGAAGTCCAACAAGAACGAGAAACTGCGCTTGAATCTTGCGCAGAGAGTCGCGCACGAAAACGCTGGTCTATCTCGTTAATGAGTGATTTTCAAATCTTGGGACGTTGTCAGCTCTCCTCGTTGTGTATGACGATCAGAATGATATATAATGTTGCAGGGATTCACCGCGGAGATCTACGACCAGAGCCAAATGCCCCGTCGGCTCTGGTCTGTCTCCGCTCGGCTCCGCGCGCTGCGCGCTGCCTCGCTACCCCAAACGCGGGGCGCGGGGCATTTGGCTCTGGTACCCTTTTCTTCGCT